ATTGAATATGAGTGTTGATAGTGGGCATCCTTCTCTTTTTCCTAATTTTAGATTGAAAGCTTTCAATTTCAGTCCACTTAGTATGATGTTGGCTGTTGGTTTGTCATTGATGGATTTTATCAAATTGAGGTAAATAACAGGCTTTTAATGAGTCTCTTACCCCTCTGATAAGAGCAGTCATCATTTTGGACCTCATCCTGAGTCCATTCCCAGTATTACAGCCCCAATTTGGTTTCTGTCAGTGGGGCTGTGACCTCTCTGGTGTGACTCAGTTCTCCACCTGTTGCATATTATTTATCCAAATGTCCTATAAACTCTTGTAAGATTCTTGGTTTTTCACCTGGGGTACAGCAATTGACATCTCTCCATGAGAGATCAAAATAAAGGGTCATAGTTTGAAACTCATCTGTAATCTATAAGGATCTTCTGAAAATTGGCCTAGTGTTTTTTGCATTGCTGGATATCTGTCACTGTTAAAGGAACCTGGACCCAGGTAGTCCCTCTGACTCTTGGGACCTCTCCTAGAGCAGGATAAATTATGAATTGGAAGAATCAGAAACTCTGAGTATGTCTTATGGGCCTAAAAGTTGTCTGGGAATCATGAATTTGGGCTGGGGAATACTGATTCTCTCTGGGAACCAGTAATTGTGTTTCTGAGTTACTTGCAAAGGGAGGATGGTTTACTGTCCTAAGGATTATAAGTAAGAAGTTGAGAAGAGAGAAAAGGAGAAACATGTTTCTTGAAAGTGTTATTATTCTTTTCTATGTTTGCCAGTAATACAGCAGCACTTGTATGGTTGACGCTTGACTATTATTGTCATGACCAAGAATCTTCTGCATGTAAGTGACTCAATCTAATGAGATAGATGCTCGGTTTATTTTTTCCTACATATATTTTTCTTTCACTGACAATGCAAGTGTTTTTTGCAAGTGACTTAGGGCATTCATATTAGATCATAAACAAAATCAAATAAATTCTTGGATTAAGTAAATGACAAAGATTTTAAACTTGTAGAATTTTAAAAATATTTTCTTTCAAAGAATAAAAGAAATTAGTATTGAAGAAAGAAAAAGGCAAATATAAATGCCAGTGCAAACTGGAAAGGACGGATTGGTGGGAGGGAGGATGAGCCCTCAAAGTAGATTTGTATCCAGTTTGCTGAATGGAAGAGAATCAGGAAGAAAAATGTCCTAGTATCACAGTGTTAAATCCCCTTTTTACTAACTGATGCAAAGCACACTGCTTAATAGTCCTGGGTTTGAATGTGGCCACTATAATTCTAGTTTAAGAAAGCATCAATAGTTTCACCAGGAGACAATCAATATGAGGATATCTCAGTTACTGGAGGAAAGGGTCATAGATACCCGTGCTTCAGAGCCTGGAATAGGAGAGATAATAGTTCCAGTATAGTCACTCTCTATCTGTCTATATTCTCTCTCTCTCTCTCTCTCTCTCTCTCTCTCTCTCTCTCTCTGTCTCTTTCGTGTGTGTGTGTGTGTGTGTGTGTGTGTGTGTGTGTGTGTGCGTGTGTGTATTGAACTAATTCCCTCCAGGCTACAGATAGACAGGAATTTCCCTAATTTTTAGGAAGCCATATTATACAAATAGTGCTTTCTGATATCTACTGAACAGAATTGTCTTATGCTTTTGGGGGGGGGGGTTCCTAACTTAGATCCAAGCAAGCAAGCAAGCAAGCAAGCAAACTAACAAAAAAAAATCACAATAACAAAAACAAAACATCATGTTCCTCAAAACACAGAAGTAAATAAAAGATCTAAAGACATCTCTTGGGTTCTGCTAGGATTTTTTAATATTCTGTTCTTTCTTCTCATCTCAGCATCCTCATCTTCTCTGTTAGAGGGCAGTTGGTGCCGTGTGGATGTCTGTGGCATTATTTACAAGTAAATGTTTGCCATATGTCATGGTTTATGCCAGTGTCCCCCCACCAGCCTCATGCAATCATGCAATCTTGAATGTGGCCAAATCTAGCATTTGTGATTGGTTCATCGTCTAGTGCTCAGATTGGTGGTATGAGTGCTACACCCAGGCATGGAATTAGCATACAGTGTAAGGGCAGGAAGAAGTTATGTCTTTCTCTCTTGCCTATTCGTTCTTGCTGTTTACAACAGCCTCAACATGCCACCCTGTTACTTGGAGCCAATAGAGTATGGATAGAAAACCCCAGGAACTGTAAGAAATAAATCTTTCCTTCCCTAATTTTAGGCATTAGGTATTTTTTCTCAGCAACAAGAGAAAAGTATCCAAGACACTAGCCCTGCATAGGACTTAGGATATGGGTTAGGGTATGAGTTAGGGTTAGGGTTAGGGTGCTTTTAAACACCATTTGTATTCTCTTGCTTCATCTCACTCTTCAAAGAACTCACATTCATTGAGCCATACCTACTATGGGCCCAACTGAAATGTCATTGTAAGAATTTCACGGTCATCCTTGCCTTCATCTTGTACTTAGACCTGACTTTTGTTAGAGAAAAGAACTGCAGTAGTGAATCCCTTGGGCTCTTCTTCCTGTATCCCTACACACTTTTGCACATAAATAAATACCTATTTATGTGTGGCTGACTGGGGTGGGGGTAGACAAAGTGCAAACCTTCACACTCTGCCCACATGCCTGTGAGAGTCAGGCAGTGGACGTTTGCTGGTGGCCCTTGGAGGAGATCTTATGGGCTATGCTTTGTTTCTGCAACCACTCAATCCTTAGTACACATCATAAAATACTCACAATCTCTGGAATCACACTGACATAGAGGGATGAAGAGGCCGAATCAAATGAGAGAATATTCCTGAAAACCCTTCTCTGCTTTCCAGCTCCATGTGTTTTGAGAAGCTTGGCAGTTCCTTTGATGTTTCTTACAATTGAGGCTCTTCTCTGCCATTTTAATGTCGGATTCTCTACCATGTGCTTTGATATCAATGGGAAAATGTAATATATGTATTGAAAATTAATTTATTTCCATAGTAGTTTTTGAGAAACTGTTTTTGAGAAACTGCAGGGGACAAGTTTAGCACAAAGTCTAAAATGAGAAGCGTTGTCCTATGAGAAGGCTAAAATGGCATGATTTCAATGAGAATCTGCTGCCATTAGTTTGGAGAGTGAGGGGATGCATATAAACACTTGCAAGATATTTAGGTTATTAAAAAGACATAGGTGGGAGAGATTCACCTATATGGAAGTTCTGGAGATGAATAGCACAGCAGAGCAGAGCCACAGAGGGATAAACCTGACACTGGGGGTGGCTGGTAAAGAAGTTTGCCTAAATAGAAGCAATCTTCCCAGAACATGGACCCTGAGATCAGAATTTGTATGCAGAATAATGAAAAGTGACTCCAGGAACAGGAGAGGGAGCAGGGGAATTAAAACAAAGAGAGAGGTAAGACAACACAGGGAGCTCCAGAATTCGGCCCTGCCATACAACTGACGGCTGTCTTCTTATGCTTCCTTCTTTGCTTGCTAACTTAAATCCAAGCAAAAGAATTGTGTTCCTCAACCCACCGAAGCAAATAGTGTATGTTAAGATACCTCTTGTGTCTTTCAAAAGCTTTGCTTTCTCATCTTCTTCTTTGTCACCACTGGGACACTTTGGGGGGAACCAGGTATAGTGTAAGTCACAGTCGTCAAGGTGAGGGATGGAAATGCAGTCCCACAGAGCTTTCTCAAGGGCTCCCTGTGGAATAGCTCCTGGTGCCTTCCAGTTCTGTGCATTGTTCAAGCACACTGGTGCAAGTGTCCTTTCACAGGTGTCCAAGAACCCATAGGTGCTTCTTGTAGCTGAGATGATGGGCTGTCAGATGACACCTTCTCAAAACTTGTTGCACAGGAATGAAAGACAGGTCAGACAGAGAAAAGGGGTTCAAGTTAGGGGATTCAAGGAGTATCCCTATCAGAATCACAAGCAGGGAAGCAACCTGAGTATATTAAAAGTGATAGGTTTTGGAAAATAATTTTTCTGGCTTGGAAATTTGACTTCAGAAACTGGCATGCATTATAAGACCTGATAATTCTGCTTGTCAAGTGCAGGAGAGCCTTTTAAGGGAACAGATTTTGTTGTGTGCATACTCATGTTCAAGTTACTATAAAGATTACAGACTATATGTGCTTGGCTAGTGTATTTTCAGGTTATATTACAGGTTTTACCTAATGTAACACTCATGAAATCAACATGTGACTTAACACTTTCCCATAAAGAAAATATAGATCACATAAACTACTGAATTTCACATAAAGTACTGAAAATAATAGCATTAAGAAAATATCATAGTTGATGCTTCTGTTTGCACTCAAGTTATCTCGTACAATGAGGACAATTACTTCTCAGAAGTTGCCTGATCTCATTCAAACTGATATCAATGACTTTATGTGTTTATCCTGTGTGTGTGTGTGTGTGTGTGTGTGTGTGTGTGTGTGTGTGTGTGTTCAGTCTGGTGAATCTTTGGGGAAGCTGACAGTATTTTACTGTTAAGCATAAGTTTTTATAGAAATCAAGAACAGGCTATCAAATTGGCCTGGAAATTGATACCTTTGAGCAAGTCAGAGATTTAAATGCCCAAACTGTGTCTCTTAAAGCGTATTAATTCCCCAAGAGGTCTCGGTATTGATCTCTCATTTTTGTTTCAATCAAATTCTGTTGGTCTGAAATGGTTTTAGGTAGAAAGGTCAGACACATCCATTCAGTTTCTCACCTCTTCATTTACCCATAATCATTCAGGAGCTTTTTCTCAACACTTTGTGAGGTTCTTCAGGAGGAGCTTCTCATGAATAATGAATGATTCCATGAAACATGAATTGATTTACACTCACCATGTTTAACACGTATTCATAACCAAATTATATACTGTGTGTTAATTGTTGGCTTATGATATTACAAATCTGCCATGATTATTGAGACATGCAAATCTTACACTCATTTTGTTCTTCAGATTTATCTTTTGTGTCATAATGTTTAAAACAAACATGCCTGAAATTAGTCAATGGGTTATTTTATTGATATAATTGTGTGAAGAAGATCATTTGGGATCCCCACCTCTGGGTTGGCATAGGAATAGGAAGGTAGCATGCATGTAAAGCATGTGTATTGATTGAAGTGTACTTGGTAGCTGAACAGATGAGAGGACAAGGTCAGGAAAGAATGAGAGTAATTCTTAGGCTTCCCCCTGATGTGATGTCCAAATGAGGGACGTGGTGCAGAAACGAATACCTGAAGGAGGGGGTAGTGTTGGGACAGTCAGAATTAAGTGGGCTATGGGAGGGCTGAAATGCTGATGACCTTGCCAGGGCCTTAAAATAAGTTACTGTGTTTTCAAATAAAAGATTGATCCTCTGTCTTGGAATTAGCCACCCACAGTCAAGATTGGATTTAATTCTTAGGATCTAAATAGAAGTTGGTATTGTTAGTTAAGCCCCTCTCTTGGATGATGAACACAGGTTGATTTGGCACAGAGGAGGTGGCTATGAACCAACCAGGGTAGGTGACAGATTGAAAGGCAGAGGTGGAGCCTTCCCTACTGTGGAAAAAGAGAAAAGGCTTTTGTGCTGTTTTTTCCCAGTACAGGTTCATGATGTTGATCTCCTAGGGTAAGAAAATAGACTTGTTAGTGAGGACGAGGCAACCAGATTGTCCAAGCAGATGTCTGCTAGTTCTCAGTACTCTAGATTCACTCTAACGTCCTGCTATGGTTATGTCTTAGTCCCTGCAAAGCTTCATGTCGTCATAGAGATAAACTTCTAGAATTTGTGACTGACTCATGGTTCAGTGCTAAGATTATGGGTGTGAGTGCTACACCCACCCTAGCATGGGTAGCCTACATATAACATAAAGAACAGAAAGAGTCTTCTCTCAGAACAGAAAGAGTACTCCTCCTCTTTTGGCTCTTGTTACATTTGTTGTCTTCTGCTGCCATGAAAACTGTTGTCCTCTGTTATGAGCCACCTTGCCTTTGAGTCAGCTGAGTACAGACTGAAACCTCCACAAACTATGAGCTAAATGTATCTTTTCTTCCTTTATTTTGGGTGTCAGGTATTTTGTCTCATCAATGCAATAAAAAAGTAACCAAGACAGGTCCCATGACACAAGATGCTACTGATTCTTTGTTGGAACAGAGGGTAGTTTGCATCTCTTCTTAGGAGCTTCTGATACCCATTCACTCTGAGGTTCAGGCCAGCCTCATGGGATTACCAGCCTCCAAGTGGGCTTGTACATTACACCTTCCATAATTAGCTGTAATGATACTTTTATTATTGTAAATCTCCGTTTTAGCACATGGTTATAAACATGAATTCTTCTCAGTCCAGATAAAAGGTTTCTCTCCATTCACCCAATGTGATTTTCTTTGTTCAAATGATAGCATCCTATTGCCTTAGAAGATTTTTAGATAAAAGTTTATTAGGACTAAAAAGCCACCATCCCTTGGTTTTTCAGAAACTTCTTGTTGGATCTCAGGACCATTCTTTAGCAGCATTTACTAATCTGAGAACTAGAAAACTCAAGTTTCTTTTCTTGTAGTGATAACTCAGAATTATAAAACTATCACTTTTCTTCTGTAACACACAAAGTGACATTTAAAAATCCATTTGATATGTCTCGGAGTAGCTATACATCCACTCACCTTAAGCTGCAAAGTAGGCTTGCCCTCAATTTCTGTGCAGTAGAGACTAAGATTTTTGTCCTTGATTCCCAGGTAAATCAGATTACCTTTTTCTTTATCACAATATTGTGTGTCTCTACATGCTATTATTGAAAGAGTGACTGGAAACACAAGGATAAATAAAGATGTAAGGTTCCAAGGAGAAGGAAGTCAGTATTCCAACCTCACAGTCAAGTTATGCATCTAAACATACTCAGGGCATCTCTCGTGGGCTTTTCCCAACAGTACATGGCTGAGACACTTGTCACTTCTCTTTGGTCCATTTCTTTTCCCTTCCTTAATAACAGAAACTCGGGCTGGGGATTTAGCTCAGTGGCATAAGCGCCTGCCTTGCAAGCAGGCAGTCATGAGTTCAATCCCTGGTACCGATAAAAAGGAAAAAGACAAAAAAAAATAACAGAAACTCAATTCTCACCATGGAACATTATGTTCCAAATATAGAAATAAAATACACCACTAACTTTACAACTAAATGCACTTGCGTGCTGAAACTGTGACCCTGGGTATGTAAATAGATGTACTGGGTAGGATTTCTAAATGGACATTCTAAGTATTATTATGAGACAGTGTCTCATAAAAGGAAGCTCAAAAGAGAAGCTAGTGAAACAGAATCCTGAAATATTAATCTCTCTGAATCTGAAGATGTTTTCTTTAGGTAAGGGGAGACATCTTTCACTGTTTCTGTAGGTATAGGATTTTCTTTGTGGGAGGGAGCCATCTTGGCCTTTGTTGCACTTTTTGGGGGGCATTGAGCTGGTGCCCAGAAGTTGATGAGGGCCAGAATGGGCCCATGCAGGATTACATCTACCCTAGGGAAATTGGGGCCCCTCCAGGAGCAGCAGTGACTTTAAATAACACTCACCAGGATCCACATTGTTTCTAGATGGAACTGCTACTAGTACATTTCCATTCAGGATCCATACCATCTGTTGGGTATCACGAATGTCATAGTGATTGGGAGTTGCCTGAACTGTCAGATGAGGGAAAAAAACACAAGTGAATGTATATTTTACTTCCAGAGTTTCAACTTCAGAATTCTTGGGACAGGTTTATTGTTCTAAGAAAATTTGGTTAGCAAGAAAAAGAAAGGGGAACAAAACAGGCTGGTTTTGGATGAAAACATCAGAAAGAATCTAAACACATTCATTGTCTAAACACATTCATTGTATAAATGCATTCCTCATACTGAGAAACTTTCAAGATTTTCTTTTTTTATTATCTTTTCCTGATTGATAAAGTATCTAGGTAGCAACAAAAGGACAACTATCTCATCTGGACAGCAGTACATTGAGAATTTTTCTTTATCTTCTAATCAAAATGATCAAGCAATTCTAAATGCAGATAACTAGGAAAATAAGTAAATGCCCAAGGTTCTCTAATATATATTTCTGAGTATTTTAACCAGATTTAATGCACTTATAGCAGAGGAAATGGAGTTTTGTATCATACTGTCTTTGGTGAAGTGGGATAGAACTGCTTTCAAACTATTTTGTGATCCACCACTTACGTTCTTGGTTGCCCTCCTGAGGTAGTAGCATTCTGTGAGGAAGACAAGGTGTATCAAAGGAGGTGAAGAGGAGGTTCTCAGCAACTAGTCACAGAGAGAAGGAAAATCTGTTATTCATTTATCTTCCTTTTCCTCTGGAATTTGTGTAAAACTTTAGAAAAAGCTTCCCTGAGTCACAGTCATATATGCATATTTTAAATTTTTCCTTTAAAAAACTTGGTTATACAGATAAATGTGTTTAATTTTGGCACTTTCATACATGCACATAACATGCTTTGATCATGTTCACCCATTTCACCTGCTTGCTCAACACTCTGTACTGGTTTCACATGGGGGTGGAAAGCTCAATGTGTATAATATATTTTGCTCATCTCCACTCCCTTATTATCTGCTCTTACACCCCTTCTCATTGTTTTCCTCTTGCTCAATAGTAGTCCCAAATGCAGATTTTAAAGGAAAGGTGGTAAGAGTATGTTTACAGTCAGCAAACCCTGAATGGAATGGACAAACCCATCCCTGTGTCTGCCAGGGTGGCCCTAGTTCCCCAGGTTGTGGTGGCCTTGAGATGCCATTAATCATTGCATCTGAGATGGTTAGGAATTTGCAAAGCATCACCCCAAGACCCGCCAAAGAAGTAAGCACCCGAGTTCAGAGAAAAGGAGGAATGTGTGTCTATACACTTACTTGTTAGAATACAAGTAACACTTACAGAACACCAAACAATTATGATAAAAAATAAGCTTACCAAGGCATGTCCTTTTTCAACTACCTAGAATACATGAAGCAGATTCAAAGATATTACCAGGAAATTTAAAACTCCACTGAAAGCTGGCAAAACTGTTTGAAAGAAATTAAGGATAGATGATCAAAACTTGAAGACACATTTGCAATGTGTGATCATGAAAGGGAAGATCTCTTAAAAACATCAAGGAAACAGGCAGTAACAATACAAAGGCTAGAAGATGACAAGACAACATATAACTTAAGAATAAAGAATGTGAATGAAGAAACAGGGGTAAAAACAAAGGAAATACAAATGCTATTCGTGGGAATAATTAGGGAAAACTTCCCAAACATAGGAAAAGGAAATGATATTCAGATGTATGAGGCATATGGAACTCCAGCCACCTACAACCAAATCAGAGCTACACTCAGGCATATAATAATCAAGATCCCAGAAATTCAAAACAAGAACAGAATATTAAAAGCCATCAGAGGAAAAAAAACAGATCACCTATAAAGGAAAATCCATCAAAATCACAGCAGACTTCTCGACACAGACCATCAAATCAAGAAGAGCTTGGAGCAAAGTATTTCAAACCCTGAAAGAAAATAACTTCCAGCCCAGATTGATGTACCCTGAAAAACTCTCTCTAGAAATTAAAGGAGAAATGAGATGCTTCCAAGACAAAGAGGAACTGGGGAAATTTGCAACCACCAATCCAACCCTACACAGAATACTAAAGGACATTCTAGAGAAAGAAAAGAAGTACCAGGATTTCAGGAGCAGTGGCAGAGAGGCCTCAATGAATGGGGCAGAAAGTGGAATGAAAGAGAAAAGCAGACAACTAATGGTAGAAAAACAGCATAGCAAAAACAAGACAGAGAAGATTGGCTATAATCTCTAATATAGATGGCCTTGATACACTAAAAAAGAAAGAAAGAAACACAGGCAGAGTAGATCAGGAAGTAGGGTCCACCAAGATGCTCTGCATAGGGAATATAATTAACCTGAAAAAAGGTTTATGGACCAAAAATCAAATATGAGAAAACATCACTCTATGTGACAGGGAACCGACGAGTAATAAGGGCAACTCTATCAGCACCTACAGATAGGTTGGAAAGACAGGCTTTTGTAGGTAAAGGAATACAACTTGAGATCAAGTCCAGGAATGAGAAGGTTCAGAACCACTTAGGTAAAAACTACTTAGGTAAATATTTACCCCCAATCTAAAAACTGAAGGAGTTGGCAGGACCCAAAATGCACAGTGCATGTTATGGGAGTAAAAGAGAAGGAATAATCTAAAATAAGAAGCCAGAGGATATTGTTAATAGTGTATCAAAATTTAAAACCCATATTACTTATACCACTCTGTTTCAGACAGATTATACTCTGTTCCAGTTTGTCTGCTTGCACTAGATTTGAGAGCACAGACAGCTATCCCAAAAATAGCAGAATATGGTATGGTAATCATCTTTAATTTCCTATTAACTTAGTCTGAGGCCCTGTAGAACTTATACTGTATTACCATGACTGATCTTAGTTGAGTCTGGTTTCTTAGATTGCTGTTTGGTATCAACAGATTTTTTCAAATCTATTATGATTGATAGTATCAAGTCTGATAGTATAGGCAACTACACTGAAGATGTCAGGATTCACTAGGATACCATTCTGATTTAATTATTACCTGCTTTTAAAAGTTTTACACTATCTACAATGTTTTATTAATATTTTTATGTACTGCTATATTCAATTATACTATGTTTGATGATATAGACAATTCTACTGAAGATAATAAGAGAAAATACAGTAATCATGGTAGAACTCCTTTATAGGTGATTTTTTTTCTTTTCTATAACAGCTTTTAATATTCTGTTGTTCTTCTGAATTTCTGGAATCTTGATTATTATATCTTTGGTGTAGATTTGTTTAGGTCATGATTTGGAAACTGTATGCCTCACTTATCTGAATGTCAAATTTTTTTCCATGCTTAGGAAGATTTCTGCTATTATTTCTCTGGATAGGTTGTTTATGACATTTCTATGGATGCCTGCAGTTTCATTGACAACAGTCAAGCTTATGCTGTCCTTCTTTGCAACATCTTCCAGTTTTTAGATTGTATTTTCATGGTTCCTTGTTATTTTTAAGAGATCTTTCTTTTTGTAATATTAACCAGGATCCTACTTTCTAGGTCTGACAGTCTATCTTCCCTTCTCTCTTATGGTTTTTCAAACTTTCAATGAAATTTTTAATTTCCTGAATATCTATTTGAATCCATTTGATGGATTCCATTTATTTTCTATGTTCAACATTCATGGTTTCTATTGTTTCTCTATGTTCCCCTATTTTTAAAATCTATATCTACTATAGATTTGCTAAGAAAAATCCTTCATTAAGGTTGTCATCTCTTTTTTAAATCTGTGAGATTATTTTTGTTTTGATATGCTCTATAGCCTCATGTGTGTGTATATACATATATACATATATTATTCTTCTTCTCTTCCTCTCCTTCTTTCTCTTCCTTTTCCCTTCCTTCTTCTTCTTCTCCTTCTTCTTCTTCCACCATGCCCAAATAGAAGTCATCCCAGAGATGCAAGGATGTTTCCACATATGCAAATCAATAAATACAATAAACCATATTACCAGAACTGAATAAAAAAACTATATGATCATCTCAACAGATGCACAAAAGCATTTGATAAACTTCAGCACCCTTTCATAAAACTCGAGAGGGAGAGAGAACCAAAACAAGCAAGCAATCAAACAAACAAAACAAAAAGCCCTACTTTGTCAACCATTACTCTAATACCCATGATAAAAACCCTAAAGAAAATTGGAATAGATGACCTTTTTTCAATCTGATAAAAACTATTTATGACAAACACATAGCCAATATCATACTAACTGGTCAAAAACTGAAAGCTTTCTCTCTAAAACCAAGAACAAGACACGGATGTTCACTATTACCATTCCTATTCAGTTTAGTTCTAGAAACAATAGCCAGAACAATTAGACAAGAGAAAGAAACAAAATAAATAAATATAGGAAAGGAAAAAGTTAAATTATCATTATTTTCAGATAACATAATATTCTACATAGAAGACCCCAAAAATTCTACCAAAAGCCTAATTTAATAAACAGATTTAGTCCCATAGCTGGATACAAAATCAGTACTCAAAAATCAATAGCATTCCTTCACAAATATAACAAACTCACTGAGAGGGAAATTAAGGAAGCCACACATTTTGCAACAGCAGTTAAACCATGAAGTACTTAGAAATCAATCTAACAAAGGAAGTGAACGATCTCTACATTGAAAAGTATAGTACTTGGATAAAGGAGATGAAAGAGAATATCACAAAACAGAAAGATGCTGTTGCTCCTGTGTAGAAAGAACCAACAAAATAAAACTGGCCATACTTCTGAAATTGTTATAGAGAAAGTGCAATCCTAATCAAAATACATTAGCATACTTCATAGAATGAGAGAAAACTTCCCTAAAATTCATTTTGAACCAGAAGAGACTTAGAAAAGCAAAACAAAACAACCCATAAATTAAAAAAAAGCAAACTAACTAACAAACTAACAAAACAATTCTGGGCAAAAAGGTAAAGCAGAGGGCATCACAATCCATGACTTAAAATTATACTACAGAGTTACTAAGATTTTTAAAAAGTCTAATACTGAGGGAAAAAAAGAAAACCAGAACTGAGCATCAGTGGAACAGATTAGAAGATGCAGAAATAATTTCAAACAGACTCAGCTGTCTTATCTTTGATAAAGGGGTCAAACACATTCATAGGAAGAAAGAAAGCTTCTTTGATAAATGATACTGGAAAACTGGATTTTCATGTGTCCAAAACTAAAACTAGACCTATATATGTCACCATGCACGAAATTAAACTCAAAATGGATCAAATATCTAAATATTAAAACAGAAACACTAAATATGCTGGGAGAAAGAATAGGTAGAACTTTTGAAGACAAAAGTGTAGGCAAACACTTCATGAATAAAAACTCAACTGCACAGGAAAAACTACAATCAACAACTGGGATCTCGTGTTATTAAAATGATTTTGCACAACAAAAGAAATCACCAACAGTATGAAAAGACAATTCACAGAGTAGGAAAAAATAGCCAGTTGTTGAGAAAAAGGACTAATATCTAGAACATATAAAGAATTTTTTAAAAATCAGACCCCCAAATTTAAAAGCCCAATCCAAAATTGGGCAACTGAAATTAGTAGACTGTTCTCAGAAGAAGTAGTGCAAATGGAAAATAGATACATGGAAACAAGTTTAATGCCAATGATCATTTGACAAATGAAAATTAAAATAACACTGAAATCCCATCTCACTCTAGAAAGAGTGGTTATTGTTAACATATCAACCAGCAGCAAATGCTTGTGGGGCTTTGAGGAAAAAGAATACTTCACTGTTGGTGGGAGTGTGGACTATTGCAAGCACTGTGGAAATCAGTGTGCAGATTCCTCAAAGAACTAGGACTAGAAGTCTCATTCAACCCAGATATTCCCCTTCTTTGTATCTTCCCAAATGAATTAAAAGCATCATCCTGTGGGGAGCCACCCAGATAACTCTCCTTGATTTCCTTGAAAGAAGAGAAACCATCTCCATTTTGGATAAACTTGGCCCTACCTCTGTGCATTGATATGTGCAGAGCTGTCTAGGCTGTTTCTCTGTCCTTTCTGTTGTCTTTAAGCAATGTAAATTAGGCTGGCTGAGCAGCTGATGTGTAAACTTTGAAACGTGGTGACAGGTCAGTGTTACCCCACCCAATGACTCCCCAAATGTGTGGTTGAGCCAGGGAGGATGGAGGGCTATGCTCCACATGCCTTGAGAAGGAGACTATGACTCCCCAGGGAAAAAAGGATTGTACATCAGTACTGAAGCACCAGCCCCCAAATTATTAGATGCTACTTCAGTTGTGTTATGCAGATTATTCTTTCCATATTTCTTGCCCTTTGCATATCACAGAGGTGATTTCAGACTTCCTATCTAACCCAGTTCACAGAAGTCACATCAGTCACATATTTCCTGCCACTCTCAGGCAACCACTGCAGTCAAGAGTTTCCCACTATTCATATACTGTCATGCATTCCAGAGCCACTTCTCTCATGGGGAATTAATAAAACCTATTGGGCTCTACATTATGGCATTTGTTTCGGTGGTCCACCATCTTGGTTGGACTTAGGACTCTTGGGCTCCCTTATTCTCACCTTGGGCTGCACTGGAAGTGGCAGATTGGAATTAACTCACTAGAATTCCAATAACTTCTCCATGGAATTGCAAATATAAACCTTTCTGTATTGTGATAAGGACAGAAAAGTGATCTCTATATTTGAGGCTCAATATGGCTGGGACTCACGACCCTCCTGGCATGCCAACCACTTATCCAGGTGCTGGCAACCCACTGAACCTTGTGTGACAAGTTTTAAGGTAAAAGAATCATTTTCCTACTTATATTACTCAGATGCAAGTAGAAGTCTGTTCATCAAGGATAAAAATGGGGCAGTTGTACACTTCATCTGCAGAAGAGAAAGACTTTGTTCTATTTCTTGTGAAGCTGTTAAAAAATGAAAACATTAATGTACCATCTAATCAAGTTTTGAGATTACTCCATCAGATAGCTACATTCTACCCTTCATTTTCCCAAAACCTATACACTTGATATCAGAGTTTGGAATAACATAGGTGAAAGCCTTTATGAAACAGTCACCCAAAAAATATCCATTAAAAAACTGTGATCACACAGTACCTAGTGAAGGTGGATTTATTACACATCACCTATCAAAATCAATTACTGTATCAAGATTTGTGGACTTAATTAAGGGTGCATCTAAGTCCATGTTAGAATTCACATAGGACCCAGTAGACCTCAAGGATAACTTTTCTACAATGCACACCTCAGTTTAAAATATTGCATGCTTTGGTCTCCTCAGTGTTTATGAAACCTCCATGGCCTCTACCATCCCAGTCCCATGCTGGCTATTGTAAATCCAAGCTAGATTCTAATAACCCTTTATTAAATCACAAGAGATAGAATCTACTTCTTACCTGTAACAGCTCTTCAGGTCTTCGAGCATGTTCGGACATTGGGCCATCTTGACTTCTGCAATAGGAAGAGACCAGTGACTATCAGCTCAGCCAGTCTCTGTGCCAAAGGCCAGCAGGGGTGACCTCACCTTTCTTGAGAGACTGCATTGACTGACAGCCCACACCCAGCATTTTCCCCATGCTTCTTCTCACTCTCTTGCATTTCTTTAAATGTATCTGCCTCTTCTCCTAGGCTATAAACTTCTTTTAGAATGCTTTATTTATCTTGGTACTCCTTCTGTGCCCAACTCAATGCATTGCACAGAGTAGGCATGCAATCAATGCTTGGCTAGCTTAAAAGAGAAATAAAGCCACAAGAAAGAGATATTTACCTTACACAGAGGCAAGAGAAAAACAGAGTTAGAAACATTCAGTTCTGTCGTAATAGGTTTTGGTGGTACAGGGCTTCTCCCAGAGGGAGATTTGGCTGTACATGCAGAGGCCCTTGGATGAATTCATTCACTGGTTGGCCATCGGTTCCCCATCAGTAAAATAAAAGAGTCAGTTTTTGAAATCTGACTGGCGTGTAATTCTAGTTCATATACCAAATCAAGAAAGGATAGGAAAGGAAAAAAGGAAGAGACCAAAGTTTTACAGAAGGAAACCAGGGAGGAAAAAAAAAGGTACTTTAAAGTACCTTTTAAAAGCCACAGGCATGGTAAGGACAATACCTGTGCCGACTCAAGTTCCAAAGAAATGACTCCCTCACGAGTTTGCAACTGAACCTGAGTCAGGCTTCTTTGCCTTTTATAATGCCTCCCTCAGTGACCATAATTGTGTCACTATGGCTTTAAAGGTAATCTTTTTTATTTTATATGTTTATTCAACTTGATACTGGCCACAATGATGACAGACTGTATACTTGTATAATTGGTAATATTGCTGTTTGGAAAGATTTCAAGAGATACTGACTTAGCTCATTTATTTGTTGCTTGCCCTATATAATTATAAACATGTAGTTTTAAAAACAAGAGAGAATAGCAGAGAAAGTTTATCAAAATTTCTAAAAATAAATGATCTGGTAGGAAAGAAGAAATCCCTGAGTCAGGATTTCAGAGGACAAGAGTTGGAGAAAAGCTTAGCAGCCGTACTTTGGGTTTTGGCTTAATTTGTTTGTCATGTCCCAAGGCTGTGTGTGGCAGAATAATTGGTAGCTACCAGTGCCAACTGACAGGGTGGAATGGATCATCCTTGGGGTTTTCCCACCTTAAACACTCCATCAATCTGTGATTCTACAATCCTTAATGAAATAAACCTGAAAGTTTGAGAGATCTCCCTTCCCTTTCTTCTTTTCTTTCAGTAAAATCTCTTAAATTCTGTGATACACAGAAATCAGGGTCAAGGTGACCTATGTAATTGACTACATGATTAAGGGTGGAGTCTGGCTGTGAATGTAAGTGTGGTCTTAACATGTACCAGAAAGATGAGAAACATCTATGGAAGCAACTTTAAAATTGTATACAGTTAGATGTAACAGAAATCTCTTGCTTGTAAAGAGAACTACAATATTTCTCTGAATTTTCTGGGGAAAATTTGACCAACATTATCCAATGATCCTGCACTTCAGATTCAACCAACCATAGACTGAAAACACTTGAAGAAAATATATATCTGTACCTGTTATAGTTTGTGTCTGGATGCCCCCCAAAGCCTCATGCAGTCATGGGGACTAGCTTTTAGCATTCGTGTTTGATTTGTGGTCCAATGCTAAGATTATGGGTGTGAGTAGGGTAGGTAGCCTACTTAAACATGAGGGATAGAAAGAGGCTTCTCTTGTGCTCCTCCTCCTTTTGCTCTCGCTGCTTTTGCTGTTTTCTATCATCATGAATGGTTGTCTCTGTGCCATGCCACCTTGCCTTGGAGCAAGCTGATTGTGGACTGATACCTCCACAAACTGTGAGCTAAATAAATCTTTCCTTCCTCAATTTGGGGTGTCAGGTGTTTTGTCTCAGCAATCAGAGAAAAGTAAGTAACACAATATTGAATATATTTGAACTATTTTTCTTGCAAACACTCCCTAAATAATATAATAGCTATTACATTATACTAATATAAATTGTCATACATTATTTCAATGTTTTGGTCAGAAATCAAACTTAGGACCTTGTGCTTACCATGCAAGCACTGTGATGCTGAGCTATACCCCTGATTTCAATATACTAAGTATTATAAGTTATCTAGACATTGTTTTCAATTGTAAAGGGAGATACGTAGAGGATCTATGCAAATTCTGAACTCTATACGGCACTTACATAAAATTCATGGAGGTTGGTATCTGCAGGGGTTGGTAGGGTCCTGAAACTAATGCCCTGTGGCTACTAGGGACAGATACACTTCTTTTCAGGTGGTATAAACTGCTTCATAGAAATAAAGCATGTAAAAACCATTACATGGAGAGACAACTGAACCTTTTGTTTCAACTCATGTCCTACTTAGTTACAATTTGCTTTTTAATTCCATGATGGTTAGGGAGGAGGGAAAGACTTGGTACAGTTGCTCACAGTTCATGGAGTTATAACCCATTATTTTTATTATGCAAACAATGCAAGTGCTCAAGATAAGATAACATGATACTCTACATAGAAGACCCCCAAAACTCCATTGAAAGACTCCTAGATATAATAAATACATTCAGCAATGTAGCTGGATACAAAATCAACACTCAAAAATCAATAGCATTCCTATACACTAACAACAAAATCACTGAGAGAGAAATAAGAGAAGCCATACCCTTCACACTAGCAACCAAAAAATGAAATACTTAGGAATTAATCTCATGAAAGAAGTGAAAGAACTATACAGGGAAAATTATAATACCCTTAAAAAAGAAATCAAAGAGGATCTCAGAAAAATGGAAAGACATCCCTTGCTCATGGAGAGGAAGAATAAATATTGTGAAACTGGCCATTCTCCCAAAACTGCTGTACAGATTCAATGCAATCCCAATAAAAATACCATCAACATATCTCATGGATCTAGAGAAATCCCTCCTCAAATTCATCTGGAACCAGAAGAGACCTCGAATAACAAAGACAGTTCTAAACAGCAAAGGCAAGGCAGAAGGCATCATAATCTCTGACTTGAAGTTACACTACAAAGCAACTGTAGCAAAATCAACATGATACTGGAATAAAAACAGAGCCAAACATCAATGGAATAGATTATAAGATACAACCACAACTACAAACACATTCAGTCACCTTATCTTTGATAAAGGAGCCAAACATGTCCACAGGAAGAACACGTCTTTTTAATAAATGGTTTTGGAAAAACTGGCTCTCCATATGCTGAAAACTAAAACTAGACCCATGCCTATCACCATGTACTAAACTTTAAAATCTAAATGAATCAAAGATCTGAATATTAAATCAGAAACACTAAACTATTGGAAGACAAATTGAGTAAAAACCTTAAAGACATAAAGGTAGCTAGAGAATTCATGAACAGGAATCAAACTACATGATTCACAGAATCAATAACTGGGATCACGTCTTATTAAAAAGATTCTGCACATCAAAAGAAATCTCCAGCATAGTGAAAATTAAAACCACAAATTGGGAAAAAAATCTTAGTGAACTGTCCCACAGACAAAAAAACTTCTGTATAAAGCATATAAAGAATTTTTAAAAATCAGGCCTCCAAAAGTCAAAGATACAATCCAAAAATGGGCTTCTGAGATGAATACAAAATACTCAGATGAAGAAATAAAATGGATGAAAAATGTTCACCATCATTACTCATTAAAGAAATGCAAATTAGAACCACACTGAGATTCCATCTCACTCCTTAGAGAATGGCCAAGATCAAGAAAACCAACAACAACAAATGCTGGAGAGGCTGTGGGGAAAAAGAAACTCTCCTGCACTGTTGGTGGGAGTGTAGACTGGTGCAACCATTGTGGAAGTCAGTATGGAGATTTCTCAGAAAGCTGACATTGAAAGTCCCATTTATTCCAGTTATTTCACTGCTAGGGATATTCCCAGAAGAACTGAAAACATCATACCACAGTAATATATGTGCACCCATGTTTATAGCAGCTCAATTTGTAATAGCCAGACCTTGGAAACAACCTAAGTGTCCATCAACTGAGGAACGGATTTTAAAAAGTTGTGATTTTTTTATACAGTGGAGCATGACTCAGCTATAAAGAATGATCACACTGAGATATTTTTAAGTAACTGGATGCAGCTTGAGACCATACTCATAAGCAAAATTAATCAAACTCACATATATAAATGCCAAATAGTCTCCCTAGTGTAAGAAATGGTAAGAATACATAAAAGTATGTGGTAATTATGATTTGCCATTATATTTTTGAAGCCTTATAATGTTTTCATTCATTATTTGGAATGGTTTTATTCCGGGTTGTTTGATTTTGTTGTCTGTGATGATATGAATAGATATTTTGAAGAATACAAGACATTATAATAGCTAGTGCTGATTTACTATCATCTTGTTTTGAAGTCCTACCAAGCTTGTGTTCTTCTGTCCCCATCGGTTTTATCATGTTGTATCTTATTGAATTTTATTATATGTGATAGTATAAACAAAATTTTTATGGACAAGGAGATAATATAGTAACCATTTTCATTTTCTGTTAGTTGGTTCTGAATACCCTGTAATACTTTCATTCTCTTGAATGGTTTTATTCTATTTTGTTATGATTGCTAGTATACTATATGAAGGTATACTCAAATATTTCAAGGAAAGAAACACTATGATAACTACTGTTATGTCGGGTTGTCTTGTGGTAAAACACTATGTTGCTTAAATTGTTCTGTTCTGAAAAAAAAAGAAAACAGTAAAATCCAGGAACAATGTAACAAGGAGAGAGATTATAGCTATTCTTTTAATGCACTTTTTCCTTTTAGTCTTTTTTAAAGACTTATTTAGACTTCTTTTGAGACAATTAGGATAATTTTTGGAAATCTAAAGCACAGAGACATGGTGGAAAGTGTTCACTAAATAGCCACTTGCTTATTCATAGGAT